AGAGGCGCTACTGTGAGACGGAACGATTTGGTTAAGAAGATCCAGTCGCATCTTTTGTACGTCCACCCGATTTGGTTTCCCCCCTCCATCTAACTGTCTGCTCACCAATGAGAAAGGTCGAAAAAGTGAGAATTTAAAAAGTCCCATTACTTGTGTCTTGCATATTTACCAGTACACGTTGCCTGAGACCCATCGCGGTGACGCTCGATCACTTGATTTTGCTATTTGAAAACGACCAATGGAATCGCTTGTCTAGAATATTTTTATACCCTGGCATGGTATTATAATTTTAGTCAGGAGTCGTTTCCGACCCGGTAAACTATATATATTCTTAATTAGCATTAACAGGAAAGTCTATCTACCTATGTCCGTCTGTCAGCCAAGTAGTTTCGCAGTTTTTAAGCTATCTGAAACAAACTTTGCAGAAAGTCTTCTGACTATTTTCACTACTATATATGCCAAAACGGGTCAGGCTGGACGACTATATCAAATAGCTGCTAAAGATACAAAAACTGTCTTGGTTAAAAAAAAAAATGTATCTACTTTAAAATATAGTAATTTTTTATAAATTATGAATTTTGCAATAAATTTGATGAAAATCCGACGATTTTATAATATAGCTGTTGTTTTAAAACTTAAAATATTATTTTTTTTTATACGTTTTAAAAAAAAATTTATGAAATTTTATCAAACCCAAATAATAAGTAATTAGTGTTTCTATTCACTTGACCAAAATGGATAGATTTTTGCTCTCAATCTGTAAGTCGTGGTTCTTGCGTCAATCCTGAATATAACAATTAAAATTAAATACTAAGATTTGAAAAAAGCTGTCAATCAATTTCCTTAGGATATTCCAGATTTAAAGTATGTTAATTAAAATTTTTCCACTCAATTATTATCATAAAAAAAGTTGTACTTATAATAAGATAAAAAATTCACAAAAAAAAACTATCCAGACAAAAATCAATAAGTTTGAATACCCTTGCAGTTATTAATTGGATCATTTAGGGTCGATTAATTTTTGTCAATTGTTATTAAAGATTTACAATTACAGCTTTACATTTCAAGAAGAAAATATGTTAAAGAACAGCGAATTTATAATTTTTTCTATTAATTTTCGGATCGTTGCTATTGCAGCTATATCATCCTATTTGCATAAAATGACAGCTATGATAGCTACAAATATATAGTATGAAATAGTATATAAAGTTTACTATGTGTAAAGTTTTATTTATATAGCTTTTAAACTGCGAGACCAGTAACTTTCGTAGAAAAGGACAGACGGATGGACAAACAGACGGACCATATTTACTATGTTTTTACAAAATTAGTTCTACTTCCTTACATGTTCATGTTGTTATCATGCAATTAAATAAATATATCAAATAGTTAGCTTTCGCTATTATTTTTATACCCTTGCAGGGTATTATAATTTCAGTCAGAAGTTTGCAACGCAGTGAAGAAGACTTTTCTGACCCTATAAACTAAATATATTCTTGATCAGCATCAACAGCCGAGTCGATCTAGCCATGTCTACGTGAACTAGTCCCTCAGTTTAAGGGGGGGGTAAGGTATTTAATTTTTTTTTCGTAAATTTTTTTTTATTTCTTATTTTTAAAGTTCAACATCTTAAGAATATTGTGTCCAAGTTTTACATCGATCAGAGTAAAATTGACGAAGTTATGCGGAGTTGAACGAAGGTCGGTTAGTGTTCAATGCATGGGAATCACAAAGTTTAAAGCGCTCTCCTGAAAAATTCAATTTTTCAAATCGGTGTACACGATTACAGAAAAACTACTGGACAGATCGATTTGAAATTTGGCACATACATTTTTTAACTAATTCCTCAGGTATTCACGTTGGCCTTTTTTTAATTTTTAATTTTTATATATTTTTAAATTAAGAAATAACGATTTTTTTTAGTCAAAAATCGGGTTTTAGACTTTCAAATTTCCTAAAAAATCACAAAAAAACTTTTAAAAAAAATCGCTTCCTGAATACCTCGGGACACTTATCCTTTAACGAATGAGGTATAATTTTTTTAGATCGGATGATCCTGTGGACTGTTAGGATGTACACCGCAAAACAACTTTTTTTGGAGGCGACTCGGGAGATTCCCTATAACTTCTCTACCTCTAAATATTTTTCAATTCAAAATTTATCAAAAATTATTCAAATGTTGTGTTATTATATGGTATTTAATTCTTTAAGCTAACTTTAGCCGTTCTGCCACAATAATTTTTTGAAAAGTGGCCTTTTTTGCACCGAATTAACCTTACCCCCCCCTTAAAGTATTTTAAATTAAACTTTTCATATAGTCTTCTGAATACTCTCACTGCTATATATGTCGGAACGGTCCGGATCGGACGACTATATCATATAGCTGAAATACAAATTAGAGTAAGGTGGGGTAAAGCCGACCTAGTAAATGGTTTTGGCTATAAAATGCTTATTTTACATCGGATCAAGTCGTTATATATACCAAATTAAAGGTTAGACCTTTGCGCAACTTTCTATGCATATCATTTTATTCATACCTTTGAAAAGTTTTGAGATACAAGCGTTTTACGAAAAAGTTCATTTTTGCTATTGAAAACCCCAAATAAATTAGAAGTCTTCATATGCTGAGTTTTTGTAAGAAACTGATTTTATTCCATTCAAACCCTAGCTTATATAGCTAACATGAGAATGTACATTGTAGATCTTAGTTCTAGACCCACGCATCGGACAGTTCCCGATCGTGGGAAGTATTTAAAGTACGATAAGGGTGCAAACAGTCACCCCGAAAGAACATATCTTAAACAAACCCAGACCGCTCGCAGGAGGTCATATTTCGGGTTACTTGTTACATAGGCTCAAGTGGCGGTTGTATTAATAGATAGATATGGTGCTAGGCCGTGCTCTGCTGCTGGGACTTTATCGCTAACAGATGCTTCTTATCTAAAACCGTGTTCATGTTTGAACAGCTATGTTCAAAAATGATGGGGTAAACCCGACCGCCTATGTTTTTGGTTGATTTAGTACAGATATAACCTAAATATAGGTTTTGCAATGATATATCAATCAAAGTTATGTTATATAATGGTAATAAAAGATAATAGAATTAAAAAAATGAAAATAGCAAAATAATTAATCAGTATCATCTGATTCGCTGCTCAAATAGCTTGCTGGCGTTTTTTGGTTCGAGTTGAACGTCTGGTTGGCTGCGATGTTGATGGTTTTTGTGTGATTGTTGTTTTTTTGGCTTTTTTTGCGGCAGGATTTCCCCCACTATTTAGAGGTCGGATTTGCCCCACGACGTAATTTTTCATAAAAACGCAATTAAAAAAGAACTTATGAAAAAAAATGAACCAAACTTATATGCACTTTGTAGGACTTTATTCAAAGAATCTAAATCCACTTACCTTTTCATGCGATAACTTTGACAAAAAGAAATATCCTGCAGTTAATTATGCACAAAAATGAAAGTCAAAATTGTGAAAACAAACTTGTCGTCGTTTGACCATCTCAATGTTGACTAATAAAATGGTGTCATACCACCATTTTCATTGTTTTCGATGCTCTACACGACAACACTAATATTATTTTGCGTAGTGCTTCCGATTTTCGAAAACAGAGGGAGGTCGGGTTTACCCACACTGTCGGCTTTACCCCACCTTACCCTATACAAAAATACAAAAATTATCGATAAATTTTTAGAAAAAAGAAAAATTAAAACTTGGCTGTTTTTCAACACATTTTTAATAACTTTTGAGATATGGCCATTTTTTATTATTTTAAAATTTCGGTTATAATTTGATGAAAATTGGACGACTATATCTTATAGCTACCATATGAATGTTCGGGAAATTAATAGAAAAAAAATTATAACTTCGTTGATTTTCAATGTATTTTCATTCACTTTAAGATATGGCCAATTTTTCAGAATTTTGGTATAAGTTATATGAAAATCGGACATTGCAAACTGCAAGGGTATACAACTTAGGCGTGCGAAGTTAGCTTCCTTTCTTGTTTTTTTTATACCCTTGCAGGGTATTATAATTTCAGTCAGAAGTTTGCAACGCAGTGAAGGAGACCTTTCCGACCCTATAAAGTATATATATTCTTGATCAGCATCAACAGCCGAGTCGATCTAGCCATGTCCGTCTGTCCGTCTGTCCGTCCGTCTGTCCGTCTGTCCGTCTGTCCGTTTCTACGCAAACTAGTCTCTCAGTTTTAAAGCTATCTGAATGAAACTTTGCATATAGTCTTCTGTATACTCTCACTGCTATATATGTCGGAACGGGCCGGATCGGACGACTATATCATATAGCTCCCATACAAATGATCGATAAATTTTTGGAAAAAAATTATAACTTGGCTGTTTATCAACATTTTTGCACCATTTTTTAGATATGGCCATTTTATATTATTTCAGAATTTTGGTAAAAATTTCATGAAAATCGGACGACTATATCTTATAGCTGCCATAGGAACGATCGGGAAATTGATAGAAAAAACATTATAACTTCGTTGTTTTTCAACCTATTTTTATCTACTCTGAGATATAAGCTCATTTTATTAGTTCAGAATTTTGGTATAAATTTTATGAAAATCGGACAACTATATCATATAGCTGCCATATAAACCGATCGGTAGATGTAGAGAAAATGTAAAACTGGGAATGTAGAACTGTAACTGTCAAACTCTAAACAATAAGTAAAATTTAATGAAATAATATCTGCAAGGGTATACAAACTTCGGCGTGCCGAAGTTAGCTTCCTTTCTTGTTTTTAATTATAGTTGCATATAATATTATGTAAAATAATAGATGACTTAACATTATTGTTTTTATTCATTATAATAAATGTTTCCTTTAACTTTTCTTTATTTCTGTTGATGTAGTTTTGCAGCAAATCACAATGGTTTTTAATGTGATGCTTACAAGTTACAAGTTACAAATTTATACCTTATATAAAAAAAACAAAAATAATTTCGTAAAATGACAAAACTTGACTTACCATTGTAGACAGTTTTTATTTTATAAATTCCTTCAATACTTCTTCAAATTATTTAAGAGTTGACCACTTTATTCCAGTAGTAAAACTAAAGTATCTACCTATGTATATAGAACACAAACGATACAGACAGCATACGTTGCGATCGATTAACACCAAGCCTCTAAGCAATTCAATTTGTGCATTAAGTGTGCAAGCTTCATCAACCATCTAAATGTCAACACTTTACTACTGCTACTTACAATAAAAATGTAATCGGCTAGAACTGCATAATCAAGACAAATTTCTCACACCAATTAATGCTGAAAAAATAAGTGCAATAACTGCACGATTAAGGGCAAACATGCACAGTGAATCAAAATGTAGTATTTTAGCCCGAATCGGAAAACATCTAATGTTTTTTTTTAATAGCAAGGACTACAGAAATTTGCTAGTTGTCACAATTATTTGGACTAAATAAACACTGTGAATTTTTCATTACAACTTTGTAATATCTTCATAAGAAAAAAAGAATTCGTATATATTCTTCATTTATTATTTAAAACAAAACTTTGCTAATATTTTTTCATTGGAACTTAAAAGACCACAGCAAAATAAATATAATACGTATTTAAACGAGTATTTAGTAGCAAGAAAAGTAAGAAAAGAGAAAGAAGTACAGGCCGAAAACTAATTTTTGTGGAGACACAGATGTTGTTGTGCTCGTATAATGCCCACCCTGCCTATGATCACCTGCCGCAAGAGAACGGCTTTGGTGAAAGGGTTCATAATTTCGTTAAAAGATAAATTTAGATAAAGTGATTAAGGCCGACATTTCATATATATTTTACGCTACGGAAAGGAATAGAAAGATAAGTACACAAGGATAAATCATGGCTTGACAGTTCTAAAAATATATATTATAATAGATCAATTAGATGGGGAATTAGTTTTGATTAATTTAAATTAGAATACATTTTTCTTTAATATATATCTTTGTAAACTAATTAAATTAAATTTGTTGGATTAAGTTAAATGTATTCAGTTTTTCTTATTATCTAATTTTAATCCGTAATCTCTAGTTTCTTACAAAAAAATAAAGTTTAAAGTTTAAAAAAGTATTGTTCCATTATTGATTTTGAAAAATTATAGTTTTAACTTCATGTGGTATTCCATGACTACTTCATTGTGTTTAATAAGTTTCTTAATTTTAATTGCTGCGTAATTTGATGTAAGTTAAATTTATTTCATATTTGTGGCAGAGTATTTTATTTAGTTTCACTTTTAGCTTTCGTTCGCATTTAGGATTAAGGTTCTTTCAAAACTCACGGACCATATCCATCGCCGAAAGATAGATCTCCCTCGAAGGTGTGCTGAAAATTAATCTCTAATAGCTGACCACAGAAGAATTTCATATAATTTATACTGCACTCGATATTATTTTTTCATCCTTCTGCTTTGCTTCCTAGCTCACTAGGGTTTGCTTAAGCTGCGGCTCTGAACACGGATTTTTCACTTCTGTCCGCGTGGACTTAGCACTTAGCACTTATTGCAAATTCGGCTGCGACAAGCGAATGAAATATTTGAGCACTCCACCGGATCTCAAATTAAAAAGAAATTAGCATGGAAACGGATGGAGTGGTCTCACGTTCAGCAGCAGAGAAAATCACTGATCTTCCTTGGCGCAACTCTGAGCTATCTGGTATATTTGCCCTAAGCTCTGATTTTACATTTAAAAGCTCGCTTAGAAAAAATGTAGTCTGCTTTTAGGCCCAGGTACGTTTATGTGAGATGGGTATATACCCTCTTATGTTACGTGTTATTATAAAAGTTTTCGGATATTATATATGTAAGATAATTGGTTATTATCTGTTTATTATGTTTATTAGTTTATAAGGATTATATTTAGGATTACAAAGTAATAGGATATTGTATAAGTATTTAACAGCTTTTTATCGCGACTTTAGAAGGGTTTTACAACTTATCTATCTGCTCTACAAACGACGCTACGACTTCTTTAACTTTTCTCAACGGCTTCTCTCTATTAGTGATGTACGATAGCGACTCCCTCTTGAAGACACGACTCCTGCCGATATTTGTATGGGCTGCCAACTGATGCCCATAACGCCTCCTTACATTCGGCCATCCTGCAAAACATCTGACCCAGATGTATCATCCTCCTCCGCATTCAGGTCGTCATCTTCTTTGTAGTAAGAATAGCGCCACAGCTTCATAAAATCAGCGCTTGTAGATGTTTGTAGTGGACCCTCAAATTCTGCTGCTTTTTTGACATCGTATCTGCCGTTTCGTTTTACTTGAGTTACTTCATATGGTCCGATGTACATATTTATTAGCCAACTTTCTTCCGGTTATGAACTGCGTTGCTTTGATGGCTACTAGATCTCCCAACTGATAGCCATGATGTCCCTTTCTCTTCTTATCGAAGTTCTTCTTATAAGTTTCTTGAGCTTTTTCGATTTGTATCCTAGTTCCTTGCCAAATTCGATTGCGTTCGTCTTGTAGGTTTAAAAGCATTTCATCCTGTAGGATCCTCATAAGCTCTGGACTGGAGTTATTCCTCATTCGTTGACCAAACATACCTTTAAAGGGTGTGAAGCTAGTCGATGCGTGGACATGTGCGTTGATGGCCTGCTGCACTTGTGATGTATACTTATACCATTTTGCTGGTTCCGCTGCTGACATCTTTGAGAGTACAGAAATAATAACTCTGTTGACCCGTTCGCTTTGGCCATTGCCTCTTGGTACGCGTGCTCTAGTCTCGATATGTTCAATTTTGTTGTTACTGCAAAATTCTCTAAAAGAATGTGATGTAAACGCAGCTCATTTATCGCTGATGATTCTTTGAGGACTGCCAAATATTAAAATCCACGATTCCAGATGGCGGATAGCTTCTTCTGCGTTTGTCGACTTAGTAGGGAATATCCAAGTATATATAGAAAAACCATCTACAACAGCGAAAATATACTTGTAGCTTTTCGACGTCAAGTCCAACGAACCTAAATGATCAATGTGCAATGTTGAAAGTGGAATGTCGCCTTTATCTATTGCGTGTAGATAATCCTCTTGTTTACCCAGCTTTTGGTTGTGAGTGATGCATTCAATGCAGTTCGAAGTTACCTGCTTTACTTTCTTTTCCAAGTGTGGTATGTAAAAATCCTGCTGAACTGCATGTATAGTCTTCTGAGTTCCCATGTGGCCAAAGTTATGTGAATTCTGAATTATCTCCTTCTCCATACATTTTGGTACTGCCAGCAAATCTTGTCCATTTATTTGTTTGAAAATTATGTCGTTCTTGACTACATAATCTGCATACGCCTTCTGCTTTAAAATTTCCCTCACCGTTGTTAGATGTTCATCATTCTGCTGCGCTCTTCTGATCTATGCGTGTACCTCCGACGTAACTATCATAAAAGGAAAACGACTCAGGCTATCTACATGCTGCATTCTGGTTCCTGCTAGGTGCTTTGCATTGAAGGTAAAATCTTGTAGGTACATCAGCCACGGCGTCACTTCTCGAGGAATATCTTTCTTGGAGATTGTCTGTTTAAATGCTGCACAGTCAGTGACTAAATCAAATTGTGTTCCCAACAAGTAATGTCGAAGTCTCTTCGTTGCTAGGTAAGCTGCCTTTACTTCAAGTACATAGCTTGTAAGCCTTTCTTCTTGTGGCGTTGTTTTCTTACTCCAGTAAAAAACAGGGTACCATTTGCCATCGTGTTGCTGAAGCAGTGTTCCACCGAATCCATGTTTAGATGCATCCACATGCAGTTGTGTTTTAGCGCTTTGACTCCAAATCTTGAGAACAGGTTCATCTATTAGGGCTGATTTTAGTTGTTCTATTGCTTGCTTCTGTTCTCCCTCAATTTTAAACGCCGAATCTTTTTTCAACAGCTGCGTTAAGGGTTAAGCGATAAGGGCGTAATTTTTAATAAACTTACGGAAGTAGCCCGTCAATCCAAGAAACGCTTGTATGCCTCTGATATTTATCGGCATTGGAAAATTTTTAACGGCTTTAACCTTCTCTTTCCCAGGCCATATATCTCCATTTTCCACCTCGTAGCCAAGGAAATTAATACGCTCTTTTAAAAAGGGGCATTTTGACCATTTAATATCGAGGCCATACTGCTCTGCCTGCTTTAGGACTCGCTGCATGTTGTTTGACCATTTTGACCATTTAATATCGAGGCCATACTGCTCTGCCTGCTTTAGGACTCGCTGCATGTTGTTTAGACATACTTCGACTGTACGTCCAAAAACAACAATGTCGTCTATGTACATCTCCATAACACCTTTATTGATCAGCTGCTGGAAAATATATGTGACATACCTTACGAAAACTGCTGGCGAATTACAAAATCCAAATGGAGCTCTGTTAAATTCGAAAAGTCCCTCCTTTGTCACAAACGCTGTGTATTTGCGGCTGGGTTCATCAATTTCGACGTGGAAGAAACCATTCTTGAGGTCAAAGGCTGAAAAATACTTCGCACCTTGCATCTTATCAAGCACTTCTTCTATGAGTGGAACTGGGAATCGATCTTTCAGAACCATTGTGTTCAAAACGCGGTAGTCTATGCAAAGCCTGTATGTGTTATCCTTCTTCTTAGCTAGGACAACTTTACTCGCAACATCAGAATGGGATTCCTTATATGTCCTGAATCGCATAAGGGACACGTCAGCACCAGTGGCGACTAGACAGGAAACGCTTTTGTTGTTGATGGTAAGGGTCTTCTCCCTTGACTCGCTGATCACACCGATATTTTGATTTTCTCCTCTACAATTGCGTGATGTGTGCCCACTGCCGCTGCACTTAAAACATTTAGTCTCCTCTTTGCATTCAGCTCTCATATGCTCGGGTGAGCCGCAGTTAAAACAATACCTTTTGTTTTGGTTTTGTTGCTGTTCGAATCGCTTCCCTGGTTTTACTGCATTGCCGACGTCACTCTGCTGCACTGCTTGCTTTCGTCCGGCTGTTGTTTTTGTCATCATTTCGATAGTTTCAAATCGGCTTCGCAACTCCTTAAGACTTGGCGCACTGTAAAGAGGATATTTAAGATCGTTACTCAGCTTTCGTCCATCTGCAATATAACGGATCACCGATTCATCTTCAACCAATCCTTGAGCTGCTATCTTTCGCATATGCAACACATATTCATGAAAGTTCTCGTTCTCATTCTTCTTTCGTTCTCCCAACTGCTTGTGCACTTCAGAACTGATTAG